CCAGTACAATTTACTAAGTGTTTATAATGCTTGAATATTTCTTGTATATTATAAGTCAGTTATGTTAGTTAGTTCCAAACACAAAATATAATTTGTTCACACCTCCACCCCTTTTCTTTCTGCTCTTACGGTTCATTATGGTAATTTTATGTAAGTAATGAGAACAATTTCAGAATGCCGGTTTGGTGCATATGCAGTTGGATACAAGTCTTGGTCCAGCCAGAGCCTGGCACAGAACAGGCATTAATGACGAAAAAGAAAATCAATATTCACACAGTGAGTAAGGAACGTGTTGGTTTCTGCACCCTTGAATGGGGACAGTGTGAAGGCAGGACTAGGAATATGTGCAGGCTGCTTGCACAGAGACACTTTCCTCAGCAGAGTCCTGTGCTCCCGGGAAGGCCACAATTTGCCCCAGTCCTGGCTTAGGGTGAGTGGCTCCCAGTAATGTGAGTCCAGCTTCAGGAGAGTTGTGCCAAAGATGATGGGGTGGCAAACAGACAGATGATAGCAGGGCACTTGCTTTCTGGAGTTGTGCAGCAGTGAACCCCTGTGCTGTCAGTCCATCTGCCCATGGAGACCCCATTTTGTGGTGTCCACTTCTTCCTAAAAAGGCCTCAACCCTGTCCCAGCAGTGGATTGCAGAGCAAGTTTCACCTCAGTGGCTTTGCTTATACCAGGTTACAGAAACAGCAGTGCCATGAAATTCCTCTTTTTATGCAAGAATAATTATCAGCTTCCGTGTGAAGGAAATCAAGAGAAGGTTTAGCCAGCCATGAACTTTTCAGAGTTACCAGATTCTTCAGCTGAGACCTGGGCCAAACTGGCCCACCCATTTGTGGATGAGGTAGGTTACTTGAAAGCTGTGTATGTTGCAAAGCAGACAGTGGGATGTGGCAATGTAAGGAAGATTTGTGTTGTTTTCTTGGGGTTTGCCTTGTGTCACCCCTCAGCACCTCCTGAGAAAACCACAATTTCCAAAGAGCCATACCTGTGCCTCCCCTGCTGTTCTTCCTTGATGGGGAAGACAAGGCTTATAAAGGGGCTGGATAATTTTGCATCCAGAACTAAGTCTTTGTTGCCACTGCACCCACTGATGGTCAAATAGGACCAGAAGGATTTTTTTCTTCTTACTCCTAACCCTCTTCCCAACCTCGTGTCCCACCCCCACCGTTCCTTTTGTACTGTGCATCTCTGCCTGGGCAGGTGTGTTATGGTGGGACCATAAGGAGCTGACATCCTCTGATCCCAGGGTACAGGCCACTGCCAGAGGAAAGGCTGAGCTCAGTGGATCATGGAGCAGACCTCTGCTGCAAAGCATGACATAAGAGCTGGGCCTGGACAGACACCCGGTTGCACAGCAGGGTGCCTGTGCCAGAGTGAGCTCTCCCAGCAGCACGATCTGCTTGTTGAGATGGGGCAAAAGCAGAGGAATTTGGACCCTGTTCCTCAAGGCAAAGCTGTGTTATTTAATACCTGGCACTGTCCCAGGAGAAGTGATCAGAGAGAAGGGCCTGTGGGGAGACAGTATTGCTGGGTGCCAGGAGCACACCCCTTCCCTGCTCCCTTCCTCATTGCAGGAGCTCTCTGAGCCAAAGGGGCCCATCCCAATGCCCCGGTGCACAGCTGAGTGAGCCAAAACCCCTCAAGCTGCTGGCATTTGGAGGGTGAGACATGGGAAGAGCTGCCCAGCCATGGCACTGGCTGTGTGGACTGGGATGCCCACTGAGCCGTGTCCCCTGGCTGAAGGATGGGAAGCTGTGCCTGGCTCTCGGGGGCTTTCACATGTGGCCGGGCCCAGGCCACTGTCCTGCCTCGACGGGCAGCCACTGCATGGGTACATGGCTGCCAGGATCTGTGGGCCCCTGGGCATGGGGACTGTCAGCCGGGCACAGCACAGGCCTTCAGAGGATGGTGCTGCTGCTGCCCACCCTGGCAGGCCTGGTCATGTCGTGGGAAGCTCCAGGGCAGGTGGCAGGAGCCTGGTGACGCACAATGGCAGGTGGGGGTGGGGGACGTGGCAAGGCTGCAGCTCCAGCTTGGCCCTGGTCCTGGTTGTGGAGGGCGAAGGCAGTGGCTGGGCTGGCCTGTGCAGCCTCGCCCAGCTCCGGCACGGCCGCCATGGGCCCTGGCAACAGGAGGCCCTGGGCAGCATTGGGCCCTGACTGCACGGTCCTGCCTTGCAGCTGATGCAGCAGCAGACAACGGTTCTCTCCGCTTCCCATGGCAGCTACGTGAACCCAGGCGTTACCTTCTCCCCCTGCCACATCCAGCAGATCGGTGCCGTCAGTCTCAACGGGCTGCCAGCTGCTCCCATTGCACCAGCATCAGGTGAGGGCCTGGACGCAGCAGGTCCTTCACTGCCAGTGAGCCTCCTGCCCCAGCACTTGGCACAGTGCCCACCCAGGTAAAACAGTTCCTACGGCAGCATGTGGATTAGTTTGCTCTTTTCTAACAATGGAGCCTCTGAGCACAGCAGTCTCTAGTCTGCATAAACTTCTGCAACCTCCCTGTCACCCTCACATGCTCAATATACATTCTCTTGCCCTGCTGTTGTTCATTTTTGCTGCAGTTCTTCCCTTTGATATAGTTAAGAAGGACAGGGTTCCCAGGATTGCACTTGACTCTGAGGTCAGCAGTGCTATTATTCATTATCATCATCCCACAGTAATAATGCATATTTGGGTTTGAACGCCCATCAAGAACAGGCATGCATCATGCTAGGTGCTGCACAAACCCAGATTAAAAATGTTCCATCCCAAAGCTCTGAGAGCAGTTAGGACTAGCAGTGCTGCACACTCTTCTCACTGGTGCTGCCTCTTAATTTTGTGAAGGCTCCAGCACTAGTCTGTCATCTCCACATGCCAACTAGAAGAGATAATAGCTTCATACACAGCAGCCTAGCCAGGCAGATGGAAGGTTGGAACATGGGCTTTGTGGGACCTTGACTTTCACGGGATGCCCTCTCTTCTTGTTCTACAGGGCTACATTCACCACCTCTCCTGGGAACAGCAGCCATGCCAGGACTTGTAGCACCAATTTCAAATGGATTCACTGGAGTGGTACCATTCCCCAATGGGCATCCAGCCTTGGAAACAGTTTACACCAATGGCCTTGTGCCATATTCAGGTATTGAGAGCAGGAGAACTCCCCACCATCCAGAGACCTGAGGAATTGCAATTAATTCCTCTTTTCTGGATTTCCCACAGAGAATACTTGTCTAGCTCCTTGCCAGCCACTAACTTGGGGGCAGGGGGTGGGAAACAACACTACACACACACACACGAAATGCACGACTGATTCTGATTACGTTTCTCTCTGCAGCCCAGAGCCCTTCAGTAGCAGAGACTTTGCACCCAACCTTCACAGGAGTTCAGCAGTATGCAGGTACCAGCTTCCCTTGTCTCCCTCAGGCCCTTGTGTGGCTGACTAGATCCTCAGGTAAATGGTTTGTTCTATCTGTGGACTACAGCTGTGTATCCGACCACCACCATCACCCCCATTGCACAGAGCATCCCTCAGCAACCTCCCATCCTGCAGCAGCAGCAACGAGAAGGTGAGGTTCAGAGTGGGACTATGTGTGTCCCAAGACATGGGTGGGATTTGTGTAGCTCATCTTCTGCACCACAGAACCAATGGAGAGGAGACCACTAATTTTGTCCGCTAATCTTTGATACTGGAACTGGGCTATGGAAACAACCACATCTCTGCCGTGAGTGGACTAGAAAAGTTCACAGGATGCTTGTTATGCATAATTCCTGAGCTTGTCCCTGGCCAGATGTTGCCAGGTACAAAGGGGACAGTAGGCACCAGAACACCAAGCTTTCACATCCAAGGGATAGAGTCAGCACCTTCCCTACACAGTCAGGGGAAAAGAGCACTCCCTCTCTATCTTTACTGATGCCAGAACCACAGTGGTACCAGTCAAACTAGCCTCTCCTAATGTACTTTCCTCTCTTTTCAGCCTTCATAGCCTTCTGAGTTTATTTTTCAACTTATTTGAAAACTTATGGCCTAAATAGAATTTGGAGGCAAAGGCATTCTCTCTCTGCTCCTGATTCTTACAGCAGGTGTCAGGGAGGGAGCAGCTTCTTGTGCTCATCAGGCTCACAAGGAGCAAGTGAAGGAGTAGACAGGACCAGGTCAGCCCATAAATGGGATGTATGGCAGGAGAGGATTAAGGCTGTAGCTTATGGACTGAAGGCAACCAGTGCCTTAACTGTGGGCAGGGAATGCCAGAGGAGCAGCTTTCACGTAGCAGTGTCTGCTGCTCTCCTAGGACTGGGAGAGCTATGAACGAGGAACTCTTACCTCAGCTGAGTTCCTTCCATCAAAACAGCACCCAGACCATCATAGAGTTGTTGTGTCCAGCACCCTATCTGGGAACTAGATAAGCTTTGAAAGTGAAGCTGCTCTCCAGAAACTTCAGCTTTGTATATTACCTCCCAGTTGCTCTTAGACAGCCCTCAGAATCCTCTGGGGAGCGGAGGCAGTGCTAGGGTTCTCCTCCAGTGCTGTGCTGTGAGTTGAGCCCATTTTTCTTCCCCTTCCCTTTGGGGTTTTCTGTTTTGTCCTTCCCCACTGCCCCATATCTGCAGGTCCTGAAGGCTGCAATCTCTTCATCTACCATCTCCCTCAGGAGTTTGGAGACAACGAGTTGATGCAGATGTTCCTGCCTTTTGGCAATATCATTTCCTCTAAGGTATTCATGGATCGTGCCACCAACCAGAGCAAGTGTTTTGGTAAGTGCTGACACCAGCAGGCGAGGGAAGCATGATAGATACTGATGACAGTTATTATTGGGCATGGCACCAACACTGCCGTTGTTATCCATGCCTGTGTCCTGTCCTTCAGGTTTTGTAAGCTTTGACAACCCATCCAGTGCACAGACTGCTATCCAGGCTATGAATGGCTTCCAGATTGGCATGAAACGCTTGAAGGTCCAGTTAAAACGGCCCAAGGATGCTAACCATCCCTACTGACAGCAGTAAACAAGCAGGAGTCACTTCTACAGCACAAGGTAAAGCTGGCACCATCATAGCACAGTTCTGTGCAGTGCTGGCCAGTGTCAGGACAGCAGGGTCTGGAAGTGGGGAGCCACAAGCTGAAGGCAGTAGTACAGCTAGTGGGGCAGTGGCCTCACCTGCCAGGGCCCAGTCCCAGCACCCGAGCAAGGTGACCAGAGCAGGCCCAGAGATGATGGCCAGGTTCAACAGTCTAGATCATCAGGCAAATCTGTGGCAATGAGGCAAGCCCAAAGGCAAGCCAGAGTGTCAATCTGCAGGTCAAGATCAGGATCACATCTGGTGAAGGTAAATAGGGTCAAACATAGCGCAGTGATTGCCAGGCAGGTCTATAATGTCAGTAGTAAACAGATCAAACATCAAGATGGGAACACAATCCAAGGGTTGAAGTCCAGGTAATTAGATCCATGGACAGGACATGTCCGTGGACAGGTGGAGACTGGAATTTCCACAATGTAGATCAGACAAAGGCTGATGACACAGGCCTGAGCTATAATGAGACTTGGAGCTGTGGGCAGGGTGGACAGGAATTGCAGGTGAGGCTGGTCAAGTTCATTAAGGCCTTTTAGTGCACTCAGGGCCCTGACAGGCAGATGGGTTCTGTTTGTGGTCTAAGCAAGATTTCAGTCTACTGTCCAACTGCTCCCCCAAAGCTTTTGTCTGCCTAAAAAGGTTTTAAAAGCCAATTTTCAATTGTTACATGGGCCTGAAGTTAGTCTGCAGAGAATGCTTTCTGGGGTAAGAAAGGATAATCCCATGATTCACAGGGATCACAGATAAGCAGAGAAAAGGTGAGACCCTTAAGGACCACAGAAGACCTGCCTGACACAACAGCTGCTGCCAAAGAGCTGGCTTCTGCCAGCCTACAGACAGGGAGCAAGGGACAGCTGATCTAATTTGGGTCATAGTCCTTCATGTTTAAGCAACAGCAACTGAAAGCCTGAGGCTTGCATAGATGTCCTCCTAATCTCCCAATTCCCTCCCTCCTCCCTTTCTGTTCAGGTGAAAGGAAAGTCCAGAGGAAGAATTTCTGCTTCAGGTTGATTTACAGAAAGGCCAGTAAATTTATCGACTCTTTTGACACCACTCCTTTCCTTCCTCTGCTTCCCACCTACCCACCCTATCTTCCTCTTCCCCTCCTCTCCAAGACACGCAATTAAAGAGAAGGCTTAATATCTGCCCAGGAGGAAGATTCTTGCCACGACCAACTCATATTTGCTGCTAATGTGGTGCATAGCAAAGGGACCAGCAAACCAGCAGCCCCTGGGGACATAAGCCTCTTCCTCTTGGGGTATGGCTGGAGTACATGGACCAAGAAAACCCACTGGTGTGTCTCTAGGTTAATGCAGTGATGTATGGAAGTTTAGTCCCATCCCTCCCTCCCTCTTGCTCCGTTTCTGGCCTTTTCATAGACAAATATACATATATATACAGTCTCTATTTTTTTTTTTAAAGTGGCTCACAGGACCAAACTTTTCAGACTGACTGCTTGCAAGAGGTATTGGACGTTTGGGGTTTACCTTTGCAACAGTGTCTTCTCAGCACACACTGCAGATAGGCCTGAACATTTTGAGAGGATGCTTGGGGAGAGAGAGGGGGAGGGTGCCAGAGGGTAGGGAGAAAGAGAGGATCATCTCTCTGCTCAACATTAGCAAGAAGGAGGAGAAATACATACCTCCAGGATTAGGGCACAGTCAGATGCTCAGCTCGAGTCACTCATCCACTGTAGCACCAGCCTGGTTAAGGATCTCAAGAGCTCTCAGTCTTACCTTTCCCAGGGCTTCTGCAGACAAAGCTCCTGGAATTTGGTGCCAGACCCCATCCTGACAACTCCCCGATTAGACTGAGAGCACAGGAAACCAGTCACTTTACCTACAGGAACTGTACTGCCTCCCCACACATGGCATAGATCTGTGTTTCATAGTTCTCCATGGTAACAGCATTTTCTTGATGAAGGCAAGAGAAGATAATAGTATGAGCAGATGCAATCTTCAAAACAGTTACAGAATCCTCCTGGGGGCTACACACTGCCTCCCCGTGTCAGATAAGCTAATGCTTTCCATAAGCTGTAAAATGTGTTGAGGGGGTTGAACGACATAGCAGAGCTGCTTAGTGAGCAGTACTTATTCCCAGATGAAACAGGACGTTTTCTCCCTCTGAATTCAGCAAGAAGACTCACCTCACGCACCTGTTTGCAAAGCTTTCCCCAGCAGGTGCAAGGATAATATGATGAAAGAGGGTTGTCATTCTGTTTTTTCATTTTTCCCAGCACTCCCTCCAAGAGACTGATAATACATTATGCAGCATATATATATATATATGGACAGCTATATACACAACACTCTTATGCACAGAATGTAGTTCAGAGCTTGATTTAGAAAAGATCTCGGGGAGTGGGGGGGGTTGTCACACTGACAAGGAACATCCCTTTAACAGTTGGAAACAATCTCGTAAGTTTCTACAAAAATAAGGAAAGCAAGACAAAACAAACCAACCAACTCCACAGTGATTAATGACTGATTAATTTCAATATTCCAGAGTTTGATAAGGTACCACAAACATTTGGGTGGGTGGGTGTGGGGGTGTGCGTGCAGTGAAACATGAATAAAGGGTTGGTGGGGAAAGGTTGATGCAATTATTACTGAAGTGAGCCATGGGGATTTTAGAGAATCTTGGCCAACTCTCACTCTCCTCCAGTTTCCCTTTGTTCAGGTGTGTGTGGCACAGTTCTATAAGTACCTTCACATCTCCTCAACTACCCTTCTGTATCTGATGCTGAGAGTTTATGAGAGATGAATGAAGCTGTGTGAGTCTGTGTGTTTCTATAGTCCATGTTTACTTATTGTAAATACCATTTTTATACTTAACATCTATTATGTATGTGATTTGTATAATGTACTTTATTTCTGCTACAAGTAATTTCATGAAGTTTAAACTTAGTCTAATTTTGAACAAAAAAAAAAAAAAAAAAAAGAAAAAAGACCAACAAATGCAAAATGGGAAAAAAAGGACTTTGGAAATCCTAGGTCAAGCTGGTTTAAAACAAGCATTTACAATTTCTTCCATCACAGTTACTGATGTGACTGTACAATGTTGCAGGTGCGATACAAGCTTTGTCAATGTCAAATTCTTCACTCTGGTCAAAAAAAAATCCTGAATTTATTTAATAAAAGTTTTACTTGCTAAGTAACTGGAGCTCTACTTCATGTTGTTAGTTGCACCTGCTTTCACTTACTGCACAATGCTTGCACTTGAAGACATTACCAGAGCCCTGGGGCTGATTTAACAGGTCCCATGCAGTCAGCAAATGTCTACCAACAGGCCTATGCCCACAGAATCCAAGTGACCAGTATTCTTTCATAGAGGAAGCATCAACATGTAATACCAACACATTAAAAAACTGTTTAATTAAAACAGAGATTAAAATTCTACTTATATGAAACAAGAAGGTTCACAGAATCGAAAAAGCAGAGGAGCAGAATGTCCCAGGAGTGTGCAGACAGACGTTAAAGCTAGAGCTGAGAGAAGGCTGGATGTAGTAAAAGCAGACAGGCGAGGCTGAAGGAGGGGAGATGGGAGGAGGGCTAAGACAGAGTGAACAGCGAAGATCTCTAACTCACAGCTAGCAACATCAGAACCATGGCTAAAGCAGGATGAGAGGGAAACCAAGAGTAGTCTTAGGAAAAGAGCTAAAGTTACTTTGCCACCACTGCTGCCCTGCTCCTGCTTGACACCAATAGGAGGCTTAGTGGGATGGTGGGAATGTAGTTAAAAGGGATATAGGATGGGAGAGGAGACAAACTGGGCATCTTTTAAGGACTGCTGTAGTTATAGTAACTCCTTAAAACCTGGCCCCGGTTGCTGGGGAACAAAACCCAGAGGCAGCACACCTGCTGCAGCCACCAGGGGTAGAAAACCTCCTGCACGCGTGTAGCACCTCCCCGGATGATGGCGAGTGCAGCTTCAGGAGCAGGCGAAGCACTTATGTGCACTTTGCCCCTGGAAAGAAATGGTCAGAGGATCAAAGCCAGTCAATCCCTGGTGTGGTTTTAACTCTGCCACAGGGCTCTGCATGCTCATGTTCAATGCTGAGGCGGATATGCACAACCCCTGTGATGTACCCAAACGAGTGCACACTTCCCACTAGTTTTCTTGCACATCCAAAGAGATTCACACACCAACTCAAACACAGTTGTGGTGCATTTTGTTGCATGCTTTCAAGAAGAGACATATTCCTGCAGACACACTTCCTCCCAGATTCCTGCATCCTCCTCCAAATACACACCTGGTATTCTGCAATGCTGTATCAGTATCAATCAGACCCAGGATGCACAGTGTGACAGAGACGTTTCTTTTCTGCATGATGAGTTCATGGCGCAATGAGCTGAAGAATCCATCCAGTGCAAACTTGGTGGCAGAATAAGAAGTGGTGAAGGGAGTGGGTATTTTCCCTGGAAAGGGAAAGGAGAGAATGGAAACTGCCAGGAAACTGGCTGTAAGGAGAATCCATGGTTAGGGAATCTGGGCAAAGATGTAGGCTTTGTCATACTGCATCAACTCACATTCTGTTCAGGTGAGTTTCCCCTCTATTTCTAGTCCCATGCAAGTACTTAGACGATTATACCAATTTGTGCAAACAAATCTCAGCACAAAAGCCACCACATGTGTGGATAAGGGAAGGAAATTTCTTTTAACTTACACAGTAACCAGGTCACATGCTGGACTAAAAAGCCTTCCCCTCCCCCATAACATGCAAACACAGGGACTGGGTTGCATGCTGGGGTCTTTGGCCATGACATTTCCTTGGCACATTGCATCAACAAGGCAGGGATGACCCAAAGTCTGAACTTGTGTAAGGCGATGCAGCTCCGCTGACCATGCACTAAAGACTCTCCTGCCTTTCCATCCTGTACAGCAGATGCAGCTGCTCAGCAGCCTGCTATTCAGGCTGGCCAAAGCCAGAAGGCCTGGGAGTGGCAGGATGATCTTAATGCTGTGTCTGAAATGCAGCAGAGGTGGGCCTGGCTGTGAGGGACAGAAGTCAAACAAGCAGATCTGGGCACATGACAAACGAAGAACAAAGTTGCAAGGGAATGCAAAAATGGTGCAATACAGAGAAGGTCTTCCAGAAAACAGGAAGACAGCTAGCCACCATCCTGACCCCCTCTCCCCTCCAGGGGGTTCTAGCCAAGCAGCAGCACCTGCCCTGAAGCTGCCCCTATATGTGTGTGTGCGTGTGTGCGTGTGTGTGTTTGTATACACACACACTCTTATTATCATATATTTATTACATATTTATTATAATATTATTACATACTATAAAATGCATAGTTGGAAAATGTGTTGAGGGGTTGAATGACAGAGATATGATGTGCTGGGAACTGTTGTTCCACAGCGCCAGCACTTACTCCAGGTAAAGTCACTAACCGGTGAGGGAAGAAACAACCACCAGCGAGCCTCTGTTCTTCTCCAGGGTGGGAAGAGCTGCTGTTGTAAGTGCCACATAACTGAAGAAATTCACCTGTAATGATAAAAGTAGACATAGAAGAAGAAGAAGGTTTGAAAACATGAGCCAGAAAGTCAATACAGTGGTCAGAAATAGAAAGGAGCATAGCTTGGATTTGCCTTTTCAAACATCAAGAGAGAAAAATCATCTCTGTAAAAATGGGACAAACATTGTATCTATGAGTCTTGCAGATTCCATAAAAAGCAACGGAGAAGTTTCAGAGAAAAGGTTATTCCTTGTTTTTAACATAAAGATTTCTTGACGAGATACAATTAGCTGTCCCTGATTTCTCTGTATGCTGTTCTTTACTCTGCAATCCCTATCCAGCAACAAGGATATCCGTGTCTCAATTTGCTCCCCTTTAAGTTTCTCTTGACTGAGCTCAGACTACAATGAAGCATAAAATTCAGCATCTCTTCAGAGTTTGACTGCTCTCTAACTTGTAAGAATCTCTTACCTGTGATCCTAAGTTCCCACTCTCCAGCAAACAGGCTCCTTCCAAAACGAAATTAGAACTGGTATGTATGACGCACCCGAACTAAGAAGACTGAATCAAGAAAACGGCTCTTCATTTCCATGGTCCCAAAACCTGAAACCAAGGTAATTCTATAGGAAAACCCTACCTCTGTGAACAGAGATTCAAATGGCAGACAGCATTTCAAACAACTTTGCTGTGTTCTGCAATGCCACGTGTACTCGCCATAGATTAGCAGGAAGTGTTTGCTGCTCACTTATTTGCCTTCCTAAATCAGACACCTTAACTGTAACTACCTATTGATCCCAACAGTCCGGGGCTAATGAGAGATAAAAAGGATGGAAGGAAAGAGAGAAATTTGCAGTTCTTGCCAAAAATTTCTCTTCACAAAATGTACAACACTTGAGCAAAATGTCTCTCTACTAACAAAGCCTCCAAACTGTTTGACTTGAAACATGAATGAAATAAAAGGTTTGTTTTCAACCATTGCCATAGACTTGAATTTGCCTTGGAGCTTCCCAAAGCTGTCCCAGGAGAAGCCTGACTCACCTAATTCCAGGCGAGCTCTTCCTGCTGGCAAACCTCACCTGCATGAGCCAGCGGGTGTATTCCACATCTCCTGTCCACATCTGGAAATGGGTCATGCCAATGTGGTTCAACACCAGATAATCCAGTCCCCCTGTGGACAGGAGAAAAAGCAGTCAAACAAAGGGCCCATCCCCTAACCAGTAACCAAGGAACTCAGAAATGCCAGCAGGAGGGTTGAACCAACCGGGAACTCCCTCAGAAGGCTAGAAAGTGCTTTACCGTGAAGATAGATTAAATACGCTCATCTGGGAGCAGCTTTGACTGCTCCTCAAGGGTAGAATTGAAAGGAAAGGTGTTGGTCTTTGACAACAGCTATCCAAAATGATGTTTCGGGGTGATTCAGACTTGGAACCTAGTTCTGGTGGTACATCTATTTCCAAAGTTACAAGTATACAAATCTGTAACAGAAAAATTATGATTGGTATGGAAATGTAACAGCAGAAACAGCACTGCTGGACTGACAGGTCATCCAGATCACAGCACACTTACACAGTTTCTTAGGATGCCCACATCAGGAAAACCAAGAGCATAATGAAGTAATTAAGACACTCAAATAATGGACAAAAAGACAGTGAGTATACCAGTAAACACTGCCTAATGACAGTCTGACCCAAATGAGACAAAGTGGAGAGACAAAAGACAATAGTCACTCAACTCCTGTGGTGCACAAAAGACAATCAGAAAGTAGGCTGTGATCAAAATGTGCACCAACCAAAAACTCAGAAGACACAATGAGGACTCAACAGTGGACATATCTTGTCCTTTGCTTTGTTACAGAGGCAGGTCACGGCTTTCAGACCTCACAGTTTCTGTCTCTCTCAACCCAAGGCACTACATTCAGGGTTGGATATGTGCAGCTGGTCCTCACCCATGTTAGGCACAGACATGTCCATGTGGTACCCTGTGACAGGTGAGATACTGCAGCTGTCGCTGTGGGGTGTGGTTTTAGTGGAGTACTGCAAGCAAGTACTTTCTGCATACTTTTCTCCTCTAGCAAAGACATGCCCTCCTCATGAAAGGCTACTACAAAGATGACCACATCTCACCTGGTATTTACAAACTGCACACCCTCCTGTCCTTAACATCCCTCTCAGTGAGGAACAGTTCAGGAAACTTAAGCAGGAAGCTCCTACTAGAATGAGAACTGTCTACATATCTGAAAGCCAAAGAGATGCCCAAGATGCTCACCCAGCTTTTGGACAGCAAACTGAACCACCTTTTCAGGTTCTGAAGGGGAAGACATATCTGCAGGGATATAAAATATTTTCTTTGCTCCAAGTGTCAGGCATTTCTCCATCACCTTAAAAGAGAATACAAATCCAAAGATTAAAAATTATGGAGGCGGAAAAGAATAGAAAAAAAGGGCTTTGTAAAGCACATACTCTGTCAGTGAGAGTCAATTCTGGACAGAGACACACTTTAATTTTAAATTTACTGCTATTCAGCCCACGGAGAACTCATTTTGCATCCAGACTTTGTTTAACCAGACAGTTAAATAGAGGTAACTCTTAGCAGGATGCAGATTAAATCTACCTTGGAAAAGGATGAAGATTCACCCAAAAAAAGCCAGTCTTTTTCAGGAGAAATCTTCTGAAGTATGGGTTATGCTTTACATTAAGTTCTTCTTTTTGTTCCAAAATACCTGGAAAGGTATTCACCTTTCATAATTCCTTTGCTATGTTGAGTACGTGAAGGTGCCTAGTAATGACACACAGTTTAGCTATTTGCTGAAATAATGCCTTCCAGGAATTTGGAACTATTGTTATGCTCACTGTCTCCAGATCACCTTTTGTGACATTTCATAGTGAAGAACTTTCCTTGGAAGTCACATATTCCCGCAGTTAAAGAGTTACCATCTCTAAATATTGCCCCATTTTATAAACTACAGATGAAGTTCTAACCTATTTGAGCTGGTCCAAAAGTATTTAACCTACAATAAGGCTTAAAACAGCTATAAATAGAACAGTTTGGACTCTGAAAAGCTGCACAATATTGCACAGGAATTGTAGTTCATAGAATAATAGTATATCTCAAATTGGAAGAGATCCACAAGGATCACTGAATCCAACTCCCTGTCTTCACAGGGCTACCTCAAACCAAACCGTATGATTAACATCTGTGGTCCAGATGTTCCTTCAACTCTGACAGGCTTGGTGACATGACCACTTCTCCCTGGGGAGCTTGTTCCAGTGACTGGTTGACCCCACCCTCTCAATGAAGTACATTTTCCTAATGTCCAATCTGAATTTTCCCTGACACAGTTTCATACCATTTCCTCATGTAAATATTCAGGCAGTAAAAACTTCAGGTAGTGTATATAAATCTTACGGTACAGGCCAAGCTCCCTTCTGGGTTTATGCCCAACAACAATTCTGAAGGAAAACTTATCACGCTGACAACTAATTTGTTGTTGTTTTGGAAAAAGCCTAAATCTCTTATGGTTTCCCTTATACAACGACAAAGTTCTTACCTTCTGCAGCACAGCTTCTCTCCTAGCAGTCAAAACAATTTCAGCACCAAATCTGGCATAATGATACGCCATCTGCTCTCCAATCCCAGCACTGGCTCCAGTCAGGAGAACACGGGCACCAGACAAGCTCTCTTATTTATGGGAAAGAGAATAAAAGATATAGAAGTAAGTGAAGGAAGCAGCAGAGGAGGAGCTGCTCTAGTAACTATTGGCAGAGCTCTAAAGCAGAAAGATGTATGTAAGTGCTGAAGTCTTGATGCTTCTTCAAAACTAGAAGAGGCAGGACTGACCTGAAGAATACTTAACGGTACCATGGACCAAACCCCCAGGCCCAACTGCCCAAGACCTGTGTTGCTTTGTTACTGTGGGTTTCTGGTGGCCACTGTACCTTGTTATCACTGCCAAGGAATAATGACATCATTATGCAAGCGAGCTGTCTCACATTCTTTTTGTCTGGGTTGCTAGACCAAAATCTTTCAAGAATAAAGTTGGTTTACACATTCTGAAAAGCTGTGCAACATAAACCAGGCTATGAGCCTTCTGCGTATCATTTATTCTTTGCTGTGAGTTTGGAGACAGGTCAGCCTTCTTGTGCTGGGCAGTTTACATCTATAGAGATCCATCTTGACACCAAGGAGTTTGCAAGCAAAACATAAAACAAGAAATGCAGTGGCAAAGTGCCATCTTTTCCCCAGACAGACAGCAGAATCCCTGCTCTTAAACCATTTTGTCTTCCTCTTTGTTTCAAGCTTCTCTTTGTTTCTGGGAATGAAGCATTGCTTTGGAGCAAGCAACTCTGGTAAGACTATGGGCAGGAATGAGACCATCGGTCAGAGTTTGGAAATTCAACCTCTTCTCTTCTGTGACTTATATTTCAGCTTGAGATCATCCCCCTGATGAGCCTACCTGGGATAAAAGGGTCTTTCCAGAAGAAAGCTATGAGCCCAGCTACAACTCCTGTAGCACAAAGCACTCTTCCAATTGCCTTCATATCCCTCCAAGTTGTGAAGAACAAAGTGAAGTCTGGAAGCTGAGCACTCCACCCAAAATACTGTATTCTCCTTTCTCTGATACCGGGAGCCAACCTGCAAAAGACATGTAATGTCCTGTGCAGAATCCAGAACGCCACCTGAGTGGTTTCACTCAGACGCCACCCGAGTCGGGAGCCACAGTTACCTTTGTCAAGAACGAAAAGGATCTTTCACTGGCAATTGCCAAAGCCCTCTGAACTCAGAGCCAGCCTCCACACAGCGCGACTTCCCCCCAAGCCTACAGGAGAAAAAAACCCCAAACCCCCTCACGTCTAATCTTACAGAACGTTTAATTCATTAAAGAATTATGGCGCCCATAGTTGACAGCAGCCACCCCGAGCAGCCGGACCTGGGAGTGGCCGGCGCTTTCCCCCGCGCACCGCGGGAGGGAGGCGGTGGGAGAGTCCACAGGCCGGAGGCTTGGGGACAAGGGGCTGTCGCGCGGGCCGAGCTCCTGTCGGGATACGAAGCGCAGTGGGATAACCCGCTCTGCCGCCATGTTGAGACACACCGCGACAAACCGGCGGCGGGGACACTGCCACAGCGGGCGCGAGCCGCCCTCGGGGCGCTCAGGATCCGCTCTCCTCGCGGGAGCGCGGGGAGCAGCACGGCCCCTCCCGGCCCTTCCCGGCCCCACAACCTCGGCCCCCGCTGCCGCGCCCCCCGAGCCGCCGCCGCTGGGCGGAGCTCCCGTCCCGGAGCAGGTGACGGCTTCCGCAGCCCCGCCGCTGCCGCCATGGCCGCCCGGCTCGTCCCCGTCGCCAAGTGAGTCCCCGCGGCCCTGCCCGCACAGCCCGGCCCGGCGCTCGCCCTTCCCGCTCTGCTCCCTCCGCCCGCCCCGCGCCTCCCGCTCCAGGGGCTCCCAGGGGTTCCCCGGCTCTCCGGGCCCGTGCCCGCAGCCCCGGCCTCGCCTCGCTCCTCCGCGCCGCGCCCTTGGCTTCGGCCGCCCCCGCGCCCGGCTGGTTCCCGGCCTGCAGCTCCTCCTGTGTCTTCACCTGCCGGACGGGATTGCGGCGGTTTTTTTTCGGGGCGAGCATGAACACGTAACATTAAACCCAGCGTGCCGCGGAAGGGCGCCCGTTTGCCGAGGGAACACGCTCAGATCTGGAAATACAGCCCCACTGGCAGGGAGGAAGCGCGGAAGGGTATTCTTGGGAGCGAACAGTATGTTTTAGCAGAGAAATCCCTTTTCCCCAAAATACGTGTGAATACATAAATTTAAGTATTGATTCTCTTCTTGCCTCTCTCGACAGCTGTATCTGTCCCTATATTCTACTACTGCAGTACCACTGTCTGGCAGGTTTTGGTTTGTTTGTTCATGCAATAGCTTTTCTTGTTTTTTTTAAAGGGAAAACAATTCTCTGTCCTGTGAATCTAGAAAAGTCGGTCTCCTCAGATCTCATATTTATAACGAACTTGCCAGTAAAGGCCAAATACTGTCTTCCCGTCATCCAATTTGTAGGTTGCCACTACAGCTGTAAAACTGCACACCATGCAGTCTGCTGGGAAACTTTAAAAGCCTGGGCAATGCAAACACCATAGCCAGATGTTAACTGGACTTTAATGAGCTTAATGAGGTATTGGTGTCTGTCCTTAATAAGGCAGCAAGAAGCACATGGATGACTTACCCACTGCAGAATCCCTTAGTTCCTTTTATCAAAGGTATGTGCCAGAGTGGCAGATACTCTGAGATGCTTGACACTTTTGCCTTTTTTTCGTGAAAACTGTTACTGATAAAATGCAGACAGGTACAGTTTCAAGGGGCTAACGGGGAGCAGTTGGCCTAGGAAGAAAAGGAAGGTAGCTAGATATTTTTCCGCGGCTTTTTGTCTGCAGTAAGACATTAGAGTATTTGTGACCCTTAGATTTCTTTACTAATACCCTCCTTTTGGCAGTCACAACCTACTGAGACATATGCACTGATGGTCATAATGTGAACTGAACTGTTCTGCTTTTGATCCTTTCAGGTTTGTTATCAAAGGAAGCCTGGCTGGAGCTGCTGTATATGTGGCATATGATCAGGGGCTGCTGGGCAGTGGCACACAAGGTGCTGAAGCACTCAAAAAAGCTCAAGCAGCACTGCCTCCAGCTATCCAGGAGTGGACGAGTTACCTAGGCTGGGAGGTAAGGGCTGTTTAGATGGACAGTGCAAAACAAACACATTCTCTGAATGAGGAGGAGACATTGGGGTGATATTCTGATTCCAGTGAAGTTGGCAGGAGTTTTACTGTTGAAAGTAGATTTAACATTGCAAATATTTTGAAGAGGATTGAAATGGAAGGAGAATAAAATTTTAAATTTGGCGGGAGATATACTGCTCACAGATGTTACTTCAAAGGAGAAGGGGTAACCAGCCTATGCAGGGTCAAGGAGGGGATTGCAAACATGGTCTGGGTGATATTTCACTATGTAGTGCTATTCCTAAGCTTCTTTTGAAGAATCCTACATGCTTTTAGAAAAACCAATGAAAATATTATTCTCCCATATTCTCAAATTGCTAACAGTTCATAAAATTGAATTTAAATTGCCTGAAGAGGCCCTTCTCTATTAGTTCTTAGTTTTTAAAATCCTCAGAAAAGAAGCCTTTGCTTTAAGTTTGAAAAGCATTTTTCATGTTAGAGACAACTATAAAGTAAGAGATGACAGCCATGTAAGGAGACAGCGCAGGAGATGTTTTTCACAAACACCCAAATGATGTGTACTACCTTTTGGGGAAAAGAGCAAA